CACTGGGCCTTACAGGCCAGTTTTAGATCTTGTATTGGATCCGAATTGTAATGAATGGGAAGATTAGAAGTGCTGTAGACTTTGAACAATGTGATTTATTTTTCAAACAATGTTTGAAGAACATTGTTCTGGTGCCTGAATACAAAACATTTGGATTTAAGAGTGGAAAAGGAAGACTGGAACTACCAAACAGCATGGAGAAGCCATATCTGGGCCCCTCAGTGAGGATTGCTCCTTAGGGATCCTTGATGCACAGCAGCACTTCTTGTCAGCCAACAGCCACCTCTCCCTGTTGGATCCTCAGCTTCTCAGTCACATGGTTCTTTGCCTTCTGCCTCTGTGCCTCTGATGCTGCACCTCAGTTTCCTAATCTTGGCACTATCCTCAATTCTGTCTCATGCTCTCCTTGCCTTGGTCTCTGGTCTCAGCCTGGCTCCTTTGCCATGTCCCATGCCTTCCATGCTGCAGCATCCACCAGTTCAGACAGAGAGCTCTTATGTGTTCCTGTGTGTTGATGGTCTGGGACCTCTCTCTGTGTCTGAGATGACTCTGCTACACAGAGGAATGGCTTTGATGCAAGTGTGCTTTTGTCTTTCCACGGAACACACCACCAAGGAAACAAATGGTGGTGGTTTGGTTCACACCTGTACTAAAGGGAGACTTTACCCCTCTGTCTCCTCCCCATTAGCACAGTGGAAAACTGCTCCCAAAATGGGAGCATAACCAGAGCATAGAGTCCAGAATGAGAACACCGCACACAAGGAATTGTGGCTACAAGGGCCACAATCATTGGCTGCATCTCAGGAGCCAAAGGCCAGCTGAGCGGTGAGGTTAGCATGAACTGTGGAGTGGTGCCGAGCTGAAGTGAAGCTGTGAGAACTCGTTTAGAGAGAGGGATGGAGCCCCCGATGGCTGGGATGAAGGGAAAGGGAGGAACCGAAGCTGGTTTCCTTGAGCACTTAGATTGGTGGTGACGCCACTAATTGAGCTGAGAAAACTCCAAAAGAAAACGTCGAGAAGGATATGTGATGTGTTTCGTTTTGAACTTGTTAGACACACCTGTGAAATATCCAAGTGCACTTTATAAATAGGAATGGACACAAACTGCTCCAAACTTATATTGGTTTGGAGCACTGAAAAGAAATTTTGGGATTTCATCAAGTGGCACGCGTCATTACAATATAATGTAATACAACAAAAACCTTTGAATATATAATTGTGCATTTCTGAAAATAAATGCTTTTTTAATGCCCCAAATTAGGCTTATATTTCTTTTTGTGAATGGGATTTATGCTAAATTATTAACCCGGGTACCGGTAATTGCTAAAATCATTTCCCCCCAAGGTTATATAATTTAGCACCTTGAGCAATGAAAAAAAAATTAACTCAGTTATTTATTGTGTAATCCTTAAGGACTATAATTTGTATCACTAAAACTTGGAATTAAGTTTACTAAGAATATTAAAAGTAGTATGTCATGAATCTTCCAATCCTTATTGACGATCAATTTGAAATATCCATATTTTATTATGGTATCCATTATACCTTTTAAGTATCTCAGAATATTTCTTAGGAGTTTGTGTTATGGTCCAGATGATTTCAGAAAATATCTTTTACAATAATGACTTCTTTTACAGCTAAAATAGTCTTTGGAAGGTCCCAGGGTCTTAGGAAGCACTCTCTCCCAAGAATGCTTAATGTGTATGGAGACGAGAGAGCTTTCAAGAAAACAGAACAAGGTCCAGATAGTCATTCTTTCTTAACCCTGGTTGATTCCTTCTCTGCTTACACCTTAAGGGCTGGTCCATAAAGTTTTTAATGACAACTCAAATTTGAAAAGAAAAACAACCATGATCGATTTGTTTGTGTATACTATTCTTCTATTTGTTCTTTTAATTTTTCTAAATTTATTAGGTCTGACCAGAAGACAATTTTCTGATTCATTATGAGCATCCCTTTGATAGAGGCTACCAAATATAGGAGAGGGCTGCAAAAAGTTCATGGGAAACATCAGTTGCCTTTTTGTTCTATTTTTCTATGAACCTTTTAAAGGCCATCCCTCACTTATTGACATCACTCTAACCAGGTAGTTGTGGAACTTTAGACATGGTTATAACCGGTAGTTATATGAAAGTAGAGTAATGACATCAGTTTACAATAGAATATATAACTAAATCATTATATAATCATTCAAATTGGTGTGAATCATAGTCAGCCAACTGGACACACAGTCATTAAAGCCAGCATTGCTCTTGCCATGTACCTCATACTATGAGCTGTAAGTCATTAATACACAATAGAGTAGATATTTTACGATTGTCATAAATGCAAAGTGCCAGATAACAAAATGTTGGACAAATGAAGAGTATGGTATAAGTTAAGTTAAATTATACTAAAATGATATTTTTAATCAAATAAATTAAATTAAATTAAAACTTTGCAGTGGTAGCAAATATCTTGAGTAGTCCACAAAGCACGGTTGCTAAGTGAGTGGATGAATGAATGAGTGGAAAGCAGTATCTTTGGCAGAGGCTC